TAGGGTTTAGGGTTTAGGCGTTTTCGGTTGGGAGTTTCTTGAGCCTCTCGGGCTTAAGTCGTAGAAGCTGGAATCTTAAAGCGGGTTCAAGGCGGTCCGGGCTCATGGGGTCAAAACCCGAAACCCTAAACCCCTAAACCCTAAACCCTAAACCCTAAACCCTAAACCCTAAACCCTAAACCCCTAAACCCCTAAACCCTAAACCAAAACCCGAAACCCTTAACCCGGCCGGGGGGCTTGGGGTTCGTTGTTTCGGGCCTGAGTCGGGTTTGGAGGGGCGCCGACTTCAGGGTCTCGGGCCTTACGTCCCGGTCCACAGGCCTAATTGGGCTTGAGGCTTCAGGTTTAGGGTTGAGGGCTACTGGTGGGGGTTTGAGGTGTAGAAGGAAAGAGCTGCATCCCTGAACCATAACCCTAAACCCCAAACCCTAAACCCTAAACCCTTATATGTGAAGCTCGCTGGGCCTCTTGAAATCGCATAACGCTTCTTTGGCACCGGGGAGGGATTCAAGGCACCAGCCGTGAAAAGCAGACCCCGCGCGATGCTCAGAAAATCTTGAAAACCTTAAAAATCTTTCAATGTAAATATAAGACACGAAAACGGCCTGTCCTTTTTTATCAGCCCGGCTAAATCGTCCGGATGCCTGCGCCCATCGAACTGAAAGACCTGTCACGACCCACCCCGCCAGGCCAGCACAGGTGCCGGGAGCAGAAACGGATGACAACACCAGCAGCATTGGCCGTTACTCGCTTTCGCTCGCCACTTCTGAGTGCTTGAAAGGCTCACCCAGGTGGTCGCAAGTTTGGAAGTGATCTGCATGCAGGCGGTAGTAGTCCCCATAGGGGGCATTGGGCCATCCCCAGGCAAAGTATCGCATCTCCGCGAACATGTAGCCCACGTGGAAAAGGAGCAAGAAGGCAGGGAGCGAGAGCCAGATCATCAGGCTCCAGCCGTGGTTGATGATAGCCAGCCAAAGGGCATCAAGAGACCAGCATAGAACACCCATCATCATGGACCGCGTCGGGTGCACGAGAATGTTGGGAAAGAAGAAGAAAAAGTCCTTCGTGGCCTTGGTAGGTATCAAGCTCATCCACACCACTGCGCAGGTCGTGTACATCACAGCATGTGCACAGCCGACCAGGGACAACCAGCTCAGGGTGAGGTGGATGATATTGCAAGGTATCTTGCCACAGTCGATGTACTCGGAGGCATCCATTTCTTGGTCAATGACCTCGGTCGTCTTTTCCATTGTCAGCAACAGGGCTGCCACAACACCAATGGTGGTCAAAGCATCTCGAAAGGAAGTCTGAATCTTCTCCACTTCCTCGTCGCTGCTGTGCAACAATAGCCGATGCGCTACGGGCATGGCCCGGTTCCAGCCATAGGCGACCAGAAATCTATGCGAAGGGGAAGGTGGAGAGCTGATTATTGAGCCAGAATGATTTGAGCAGTCTCACAAACCCCAAACCTTGAACGGCCCCTATAGACCCCTGAATCCTCCCAAATGTCCCTAAATCCCGTATGAGGTGCCACCACCTGCTACGACGGGAAGGTGTCCTTCAGCACGTAGGCGGGCCGAAGCGGCAACAGCTGCAGCCCATGGCGAGCCCAGACGCCCAGGCCGGCCCAGGGTTTGAGGTTTAGGGTTTATTGTTTAGGGTTTAGGGTTTAGGGTTTAGGGTTTAGGGTTTAGGGTTTAGGGTTTAGGGTTTAGGGTTTAGGGTTTAGGGTTCAGGAACCCTGAACCCGAAACCGTATCTCCCACAGGCTCGCAGGAGCTTGTGGAGAGGCTTCCAATGCATGCCCACCCCCCCGCCCTCCCCGCCCACACCGCCCCCACCAGCCTCACCAGCCCACATCTGGCACGCCCCCCTCCACGCCCTCACCGCACAGACTACCAATTCTTACGACCAGTCAGTACCACTTCGGTCATCCAAGCATGGGAAACAGCAGCAGTTCGTTTCAGCTCCACTTTCTCGGCAAGCCTGTCTCGGCATCCACCTTTGGTTCACAATGTCAGAGACAAGGCACCTGGCACACGTAGTGCGTGCTGGGCCCATGGTCATACACCCCGTCTGAGTTGCATGGATGTGCAAGGAATTCTGCAACCGTCACGGAAGCCAAAAAGCC